GTGATCAACCTCATCACTGCATTTTCCTATCGTACACCTATCACACTGATATCTAAAGGGTACAAGAGATTCCCAGCGCCTTCCAGTAGAGCCGTCATTGTAGTTATCCGACTACGACAAAGCTCTTAATGGCGTTCACAGCAGCGCGTTCCGCTGAGCCCTCGACAATCATGGTCGACACCTTGAGGACCTTGTCGCCCTCAACAAGGGGAATCAAAATGCTCTTCCCGTCCTCGTGCTCAAAAAAGGGACACGGAAGCACTTTCCAACGCCCGTCTTGCGTCCCCTGAATCCAATTGACGAGGTGTACCTTTTTATCGTTCTCTAGCGTTGCATCGTCAGCGATTGTTCGGTCCTTCTTATACACCCTCAATCGTCTGGTAAACTGCTTAATGTGCTCAGGCATATCCTCGAGGGGTACGGCGTCCACCTGTCCCAACTTGATTCTCTTCTCCGTGCCCGTGGTCTGGTTAATCGCAGAGGACCACACGCCGCCCAGCACGCGCTGCCGCGTAGCAATCTCCTCGGTGGTCCACTCCGACCAAGCAATCCAACGGTCGTGGTTTGTGATCTTCGGCGCGTGCTGAGGTGCTCCGAATGAGCCCTCCATGAACCCCCCGGTGGATTGTCTCCAGCCGACGTTCACGTGCGGAGGGACGTGGAGACCTCGACGTAGGCCGTCGACGAGCATTTCGGCAGCCGGCGGCGTGACAATGTCGAGCAGTTCTTGCGTGCTGCAGTTTTCTGGAATCGGGATGCCTGGGAGCGGTGTCTGGGCCAGAATGTCGCCGTGATCGAAGTCGTTGTGGTCCAGTGTCTGAAGTGTAATGCCTGTGTGCGTGCGTCTTTGTAGGAGCGTATGTTGGAGGGGCGCGGGGCCGCGGAAGCTGGAAGGTTTGGTGGTTAAGAGGGCTGTGTGACGATAGGGAGGCAAACGTGGATGAGAACTCACTCTGGGAGCAGTGATGGGTGAACGTTCAACCCTCCGTATTTTGCCATCTTGAGTAATCTCGGCGGCACGAAAAGACCAAAGGAGACGGCAATGATTAGATTGAAGTCACTGGGCGGCTGCGTACGTCAGTTTGATGGTACTTGGGAGATAGGAAAAAGGAGCCGCAGTACCTGCCACTTGGTAAAAGTGTCTCTCACGTGAATCGGTAAACTGAGTTGCTGAGCGAGGGTCTTTAACGGAACTATTACCAGTTGTCAGCTCACTACCTAATCATCCACTTTCATCAACCTCATGAGTCTAGGCGGCGTGCACATACCCTCACGAACATTCTTCATCCCTCTCCCCGACGGCTTGCTCGGTCGAACAACGACCTCCAGCGACTCAATGAGTTCCGGGGTCCGCTTCCTTTCCGCGGTCAGCGCGGTCAGCGCCGCGCAGCTGAAGTTGTCCGAGCCGCAGAAGAGGATCCGGAGCGGGTCCGAGACGCGGCCGGCGCCGGTCGTTGCGCCGGAGTAGAATCGAGCGCCCGACCGGCACGTCGTTGCAGCTCGCACCCGCGCAAAGGCGGCTGATCGGAGGGCCAGCCACGTCATTATGTCGAATGATGCTCTAATTATTTGCGAGACATTTTAAGTCGTGTAAGGTTTCTTATCCACGGGTGCGGTATTCGCGCTTCAACCGACGTATCTTTTCTTAATAGCCTTCAACGTCTCCTGAGATGCTGAGTAAAAGTGGATCTTGAACGGTATGACACCTCAGAGTTGAGGGTGTACGGGTACATGCATTTGAGTATCTTATGCATCAATCGGGGTGAACCAGCTTGATCGTCCTGGGATATCGGAAGGAGTCAATGTTAGGCTGATGACTGGAAATAGACATTGATAAACGCACAGATAAATGAAAAGAAGGCAAAGAAGCAGATAGTTTTCGAGCGAGAAGTAAAGATTCGGCTTGACTGACGTTATAGGCCATAGCTTCTTGTGATCTACTATTGAGGCTGTACTGCAAAAAAATGTTTCCACAAAGTCCGTCCATTTGCAGAATTGCAGCGAATCAATGTTGCTGATATGTATTCAATTGTATGTCAATGATTCTACGAGACCGCCCAGTCGCAGGCGACGATCCATCTACCGTCTTGTAGCTCAATCTCCCACGCAGGCTGGGAGATCGCAACCACACTACCCACGATGACAGGAGCCTTGTGTCCCAGGCCCGTCAACTGTCCCTCCCCAGCCAGCATAAGCCGCGCCCCAATCTCTTCTCTTACACCCCCGTCGCCCACGATCCTTCGTCCCCGAACAAGGTACATTCTGTTTCCATGACGAGCTTCGTCAACAGCAATGCGCATGACCAAATCCGCCGGACGGTCACCGCCCGTCCAGCCCTTGACCTCTGCCAGCCAAGTCTGCAGCTCTGCCGCGAGGCCCCCGGCGACGTACTTTGCGCCTCGTCGCTGGGGCGAGAACGCCTCCGGGAGGCCTTCCTGTCGAATGACTTCGGATTCGGACGGCTTGAAACGAGGGGCGCGATGAAAGGTCGGCTGCGTCTTGACTGAGTCTCCTGCAGCGCGCTTGGGAACAACCAAGCCGTCCTCAGTCTTGGGCGCATTCTCGCGGAAGGGAAGCTCATCATCAGCATCTGGCAGCTGCTCGTCACCGTATCCGCTTTCTTCAGGAAGAAGTTCTTCCTCTTCATATCCCATGGCAACATCTTCCTTGGGCTCCTCCTGCCAGCTCAATGCTGGCGAGACGGAAATCCTTCTCCTCTTTGGTTTCCTCTCCTCAGTCTCGCTGTACAGAACACTAGGAGGCTCCGACTCAATCTCGATCGAATCGTTCACCGCGACGACCATCGGCGGCAGCTCATCCTGGTCCTCCTCCGTCGGCGAATCGCTACCGACGTCAGAGTCGATGTCAATCCTAGGATTCTGCCTCTGCGTCCCAGCTCCTAGCGTCGGTCGCGTCGCCGAGACGGGCGCATCTGTCGGGGAACTATCCAGAACATCGTGGATCGGGTCTCGGTGTCTCGACGGCCGAAGTGAACCAGGGAACACGGGCGTCGCGGGAGGTCGCTGAGTCGATGACGGAGGGGCGAACCGGGGCGTGGGCTGGAAGCGCTGGCTGCCGGCGAAAACGGGCGGGCCGCTGCCTGGTGTCTGCTGCTGCGACCCCGGAGGTCTTTTGGAAAGCAGAAATCGACGAGGTGTAGGTGTCTGCAAAGAGGGTTAATCAGCGACGGTCCGTGGCGCAGTGATCGGAAGACTCACTGATGGCGGTGGTTGCGTCATTGGGGTCAGCCAAATGGACCGCGTCTTCGTCTTGGAAATTCAGAGGCGAGAAGAGGCGCGTTCATCGCGTAGGTCTTCTCTCTAGAGATGCGCAATATCAAGCGGGCTGGATAGGGGGTACCGACGGTGAGTTGATGTGAAGGCACAAGCTGGCGGCGGAAGCTTTGCAGGCGATCGCATGGAGCACATGGAGTCGCGTTGAGCACTGCAGGCGTCATCGCCAAAGGTGGTAGGTGGGGGAGTGCCTAACTTTTGCTACATGCATAACCCCTTTATGCAACCAGTTCATCATCTCAACACAATGGCTTCTTAGAACTTATTAAGCTCCCAGGTAAATAGCGAAGAACTATTATAAAACATTGTTACTGATGGTTTATTCCGGAATAGATTATTCTCTCCAATTTGGCTCATAATCTCCTGCAGGCAGAAAGATGCGTGGTTTCGGAAAATAGGGACTCAGCTTTCTGAAAGGCAAGGTGAACATTACGAAGAACATGCGAGCGCTCAGGAGATCTGTACTTAATAATCTAAACTGACGGTGATTTCAAATAATTTCTAAGTGGATTGACTTGATGAGACCCAATGTCACGAATACGAATAAGGTCTCTTAGACTTCAGCCATAGAGGCACAGTCCTGAGGGTTCATAGAGCTTGCAATGATCTCTTTTGGGACTGATCAACTTTACCGAGGGTGTTGAAATTCGCCATTCTAAGGACTCAGAAGTATTCCAGGTTCGGCAGACTTTTTCAAAATGCAACTCTCTCAGTTCACTTGGTTCGCTTTGTATTTTCGTGAGAGAGAAAAAAGGAAGACTTGAGAACAACGCATTGATGTACAAGATGTTCATCCAAACAATGCATTTCACATGAGAATTGTCATAATCGGCACTTTCAAGCTATCGCATTGGCCAGCGGAAGTTCGACAACACAACTTTCCTACCAACCAAACCCCCTTGTTTCACCGGAAACCATTTCACTGCGATTTTGACCACACCGTAGGCCCTCTAGGTATTGTTAAGACCACCGCCATCATTGCCTTGAAATGTAGAAAGGAGAGCCTTCAAACTCAATCTCAAAACTGAATGCTTAAGGAGGGAACAACCAAACGTGGACAATACACTACTAGAGAGTTCTAACCTGGACTGGATACAACTACAGAGCCAAACATAGCAACTGCCCGGCGGGAAGAACGGCTGACCTACAGATACGATCAAACGCTCCCCATGTCAAACCCGATACCCATATCGATCACGTCTCACAACCGCACGCAGCAAGCCGCCTGCACGGCCAAGATGCGAAAGAAAGAAGGGGAAAACATCCCGAACTCGTACACGTCACGCACGCAGCTATCCTACCAGCCTACCCAAACTTACCTCGCCTTATCCCATGGCTGGCAACACAAGAAGTTGACGTGGCCCGGGGCGCCGGCTGTCCGCAATACGGTAGATGCAAGTCCCGTGCCACGACGTGGCATGTATCGGAGAATATTCGTATCCTTTAGTAGGTATCCTCTGCTTACATGCCCCCTCTATAGAGGATCAGATGAACTTTTGTGTAACGGAACAGGCTGGATGTATCCGCCACAGGCTTGCCATCAACCCGAAGTTTCTTTCCACTAACAAATATCTTAACAGTGTAACTCGACTCTAGCCACTGGGACAGGTCCTGATTTCCACCCTACCAGCCCAAAGATCTATCCGCTCACTCTGTATTTCGATTACAAAGTGACCATATTGTTGTACAGTATTGGCAACTAGCTATTCAAGCCTTCTTCCGCTCGTCCCACCTCCTAACAATATCCCCTATGAAATCCCTCCCATTCTCAACCCCCTCAACCTTCAACTCCTCCGCCTCAACCCTCCCCTGCCGAATCCTCGCCTCGGCAACAACATCCCCCACAGGCCTCTCCCCCATAGCCCTTGCACAAGAAAGATCCAGCTGCCGTAGCGTGATACCCACCCCGCCAACCAGGACATTAGCAAGCGCCATAAGCACCCTCAGAAGCGCGAGCGGCACCTCAAGGACCACCCTCAGCAAGCTTCTCCTGCTTCCGGCCCCCTTTTCTCCTCCTTGTCTTCCGTCCGCCAGGAAACGCGCCGGCTGCGTCACGACAGAAGCGAGCTCGACAAAGGGCGCGGATAGGAGGAAGAGGAGCATACGCGGGTAGGAGTACAGCCGCGGGTTACTAGCGTAGAGCTTCGGCTCGAAAGGCGAGGCGAGTTTGTAGAGGATGAAGTCGAGTAGGTTGAAGAGGCCAAACGCTACGGCGGCCAGGATCGTGAGGGGAGCTTCAGTTACTAAGAGTCAGTCGTAATCTCAACCTCGCAAGCGAAAGAAACAGCATCGTGAGAAACACGAAAAAGCAGCAAAACTCACCTCTCAAAACATGAAGTCCAAACCGTCCCCATCTCCCCGTCCTCCCGTCGGCAGCAACACTCCCAAACGCATTTTGCACACCAAGAACCAACCCCGTCACCGGGTCCCCAGGCCCGGTCAAATCAGGCCACTTGACCACCTCCAACACCTTCAAATCCTCCCTCCTAACCCTCCCACTCTCAACAAGAACATGCGCCGCAACAGCAGACAACTTCCTCTCTCCTCCCTCTCCCTTCCCCGTCGAAGCTACCCTCCAAACAGCAGGCCGTCCATCATAAACAACACATCTCCCCTCCCTTTCATAAACCCTAACCGTCTCAAGCACCTTCTCAACACAAACCTCCTCCCCAGGCCTCTCCCTCTTCACAGCATCCGCAAACCTCTCCGCGGCAGCCGCATACCCCGGCTTCAGAAGCTCCCTCAGCCCTTCCTCGAACCTCTCGCTGTTCATCTCCGCCAACCCGTACTTTGCCTCCGGCCCGCACCCGACAGCGTGGATTCTCGAGCCCCAAAACGGCTGGTCCCCGGCAACGGGCACCACGAGCGTAGGCCGCCCGCTCCGGAGCGCCATGGCCGTCGTCCCGCTTCCCCCGTGACACACTACGGCCCTGACCCGGGAAAATAGCCACGCGTGCGGTGCTTCGTCGAGGATGAAAATGTGTGACATGTCTCTCTTTCCACCCGCCCCGCCGTTCGCCTGCCTCTCATCATCCCCGACATTACCCTCACCCTCGCCGTCATCCCCCTTTCCACCCCGTCCAACATCCTCCTTGACAAGATTAGACCACCCCTTCCCAACAACAGCCCTGACTCCGACCCTCCTCGCCGCCTCAAAGATCCCCTCAAACACGTCCTGCGCATTCGCAAACGACATGCTCCCGAACCCGATATACACCGGCGGCGTCTCCGGATCCGCCTCTAGGAAGGCAGCCAACTCCGGGGAAGGCGTATACTCTGACGGCACGTCCTCGAATACAAATCCCGCGACGTCGATGTTGTCCGCCCAGTCTGACGGCTTCGGGAGCAGCCTCGGCGACCAGAGGTACGTGCAGGGGACGTTCATCCTGTTGTACTGGCTCAGCCACCAGGCGGGGGACATGCTCTCCAGGCCCATTACGTTGACGCGGACGTCGATGATGACGGATTTCATTGCTTCGAGGAACCTATTGTCGGTGTGTCAGTCAAAGGGCACAAAATGAGCCCCCAATCCTTCTTAGCTATCACTTCGCCTTGCCGTAGCTCCTCTGTGATGATATGCTCAACTCAAAGGGGGGAATGGCTAAGAAAAAATCGTGGAAAACGATACATTAAGAAGAAAAGAACTGAAAAGGGGAAGAAGAATAGGAAAGACTCACATGAAATCCTGAACCCACCAGGACAAAACATTCTTCCACCGGCTAGGCCCCTTCAAAGCCCACCCAGCCTGCGAATGCGGCACCTCCCTCGAGAAAATCCTCGGATTCATCCCAAACAGGTGCAACGGCACACCCAGCCTCGCCGCCGCAGACGTCTGGTTATACACATGCATCGTAGACATGACCAAATCCGCCACAAACGCTCCCCTCTCCTTTCCTTCTCCTCCTCCTCCTCCTCCTCCTCCTCTACTCTCGACGCCATCCTCACCATCATGATCAAACCCAAACCCATCAACGCAAGCCCCCCACCACCGTTCCCCCATCTCCCGAAACTCCTCCCGGATCACCGGCACAAGCGCACTCAGCTCCTTCCGCGGAAGCAACCGCCTCTCCATCATGGTCTTGATGTCAGTCCTGCCGATCCCGTAGAACCCGACCCCCGCGGCCTCGACGGCGGCGCGGTACGGCGGGTGGCTCGCGATGCGGACGCGGTGGCCGTGCCGGCGCTGCAGGAGCTTGGCGACGGCCAGGGAGGGCTGGAGGTCGCCGCGCGAGCCCATGAAGAGGATGACGATGTTGAGGCGCATCGTTGTGCCCGGCGGAAGATCAGCGACCGGGTACGGATCACCCTTTGGCGTTGAAATGGAGCTTGACGTCGTCATTTCGTTGGATGTTGATGCCGCGGCGCTGGGGTGATGCGTATCTCTGTTTTGGATATGCTCTCCAAGGGACATGATGAACCGCAACGACCCACGAATGACAATGGTCGCATCGTAGTCAAGGCAGGGTCACCCACATCTATCCATCAATCACGGAGTACAATGTTGCAAGAAACACGGAAAAAAAACATATTGATAATAAGTCACGTTGTACGGATTGTTCGGTGCTTGCTTCTTCTCCTATTCCTCCGAAATCTTACGTGAGGCGCTAATCAAACCTAGGTAGCTTTTTTTTCTATTACAACTGGGCGCAGGCCAATGAAAAGCCTCGATACACGATTGCCCTGGCCTGGAAATGTTTAGGTAGGCAACAGACCGAACAAAGCAATACTCCAAAGTTGTAGTCAACCAACACCGCCCGGGACCACACAATATCGCGATTCCGTGTTCATGGCCAGCCCGTGACCCGCATATTTCACGGGTGGCCGGACCCGTGAGGGTAGTGTAATCAACCCGGGCCTTTGCGTCCGGAAGGTTGGGGGGCCCACCACTGGGAGTGTGTTCGGGGAGCTCTCGGCGTCCCATGGACCAGGGAAGAGGGGACAAGGACAGTTGCACATGTCGTCTCTTATTCGGATTCGCCACCTTCATCTTCACTCACGGACCAATCCACCATCGTCATCTCTTCAAGAAGGATGTGTGTGGTTGTCACAGATCAATCAAGGCATATTTCTCTGGTCCGTTTTGTTTTTCGCCATACTGGACAGATTCAAAGTTCAGACTGCACGCCGAAAGGTGCCCTGATCCCTGGCCTCTTCAGGCCGCCGATGCGAAGGTAAAGAGAAGAAGAAGAAGAAGTTTAGGAGGAGCACAGATAGGTGTGCGATCGGACGTGCCCTCCATCCTCTTTTCTCTCTCGAGTCTTGTCTCTTGTGGCCCGCCTCCCAACTTTTCGGTTTCGCCATCAGACGATGACACATGTGAGACTATAACGCCGGATGGGAAAGTCGAGAAAGACCGACGGGGAACAGATGGAGTTACATCTGTCCACCACGTCTGAAGTCTCCTCGGGCGGTCGACGCAAGGGGCAAATGACAATGGAGAGAAGGAGAGGAAAAGTCTGATGGTCGAATGGACAGGCTCTCTCTCTCAAACCGTTGCTGTGAGACGCACAGCAACGCTACGACGTTACGACCGACTGACTCGAAAGGGAAACCCAATGTTGTTTTTGTCTCGAGCAGTCACAATTTTAGTCAAAGGGCTTAGCGAAGGGCACTCTCAGCTTCCAGAATACGAAAAGAATGAAACAAACAACGTTGCCCAAAGGCCTCAGACAGGTGACTTGCTGCTTGTTGTGCCCACGGGCCCTTCGATAGAAGCTCTCAGTCTTCTATATTCGGCAGCGGCGTTTGTCTCAAGTCGCGGACGGAAATTGGAGGATCTTGTGGGGGATGAGATAGCGGCTGAACCAACCGAGGGCGGTCCGGTAGATCGAGTTCGCTTGCTCAAGCATTCGGCTCATCACCACGGATGACTATCTGCCTGACTCGCTAATCTGCGACCATGCTGGTGACCGATGGTCAATGTCGATGAGCCGACCGCAAAGGACGGGGCAAAACATGAGTTGACTTGTCGTGTCGTGCATGCCGCCATAGCCATAGCCATAAGCCTCATTTGGCATCTGAGGCCTTCAAACACTTTTTTGGTATGTTCAATGGCTTTGAGACACGCTTCAAAGCCTTCGAGGAACACCGCATGCCTCGCTACTATTGACCAAGGCATTTGCATTGTATCGAGCCAAGTACGTAAAGAGCGCGCAGTAGGCCAGGCGCAACCAGACCAAGGTTGGTTAACCTTAACGTTAGCGGCCTTCCACTGCAGGCACCTGACACGCCTCTGCCGACCGCTCGCACGTACTGGTGCATACGGGCCATGTTGGTCTCGCGGAATATTTTGTGATTCGGGCACCGACGGGGGTTAGCAAGGCGCCGCCTCTGCAACGTGTGTGCAATGGCGCATGGCCGTAAGCAGAATTTGGGACGGCGTCGGTCCACAACACTTCCAGCGTCGTAGTCGCAAGGAACAGGCCGCTGAAGAATACTCCTCGTCCCCTCGTCGTTCGAACTCTTGGGGCCACCAGAAAGATCCGCGAAGAAGGGAGGGAGACGGAGAACTGGAGATGGTGTGAAGCTCGTGCTGGCAAATGACAGCGACAAGTGGCAGTGGCTTGGATGAGTGACACTGGAGTAGGTCCCGAGTCTTTCTTCGTATCATGATGGCGTTAGTGCAGAGGATAAAAGTTGAGATGAAACCATTGTAAATCACTCGAGACCGGGGTCTGAGGGTGCAAGCTCGAGAGGTTGTCGCTTCGAGATGATCGGCGCAGGGATATCGCCCTGCAGCAGTCCTTGTCAGAGGTTGTTGACCTGGGCTGGCTTTGGAGTTTGGCCGGCTGGTCTGTCGGCGGCCACAGAGGGCCTGGAGACAGCTGAGTCCTGTCTCGTCCGTCTGCGGGTATCTTTTCTTAGAGGCCTCGGGCCCGAGACCGAAGGGTAAGGTGTCGAAGGCGAAGAGCTAGGAACAGCATCCACTAATCAAGCCTCTCAGACGAAGACGTGTCGTCCGTAGCTTGATAGCGTCGTAGGGCGGGCAGGCGCTTGGTTTTTCCTTACTGTGTCGTAGAAATGAGGGTAAAAAACTAGATGAAGCTGGTGTCGGTACCGGTGCCCATGGTTTCCGGGTGCGCCCTGGAGCTAGACCTTGTCGAACCAAGCTTCCGTGGGCCGAGTTTGCGTCGCATCCCTCTCCGTCAACTCATCTTCTGCGCGGAAGCCAAGCTTGAGGCACCTTAGCTGCTACCAAGACAACTTACTTGAGGCCATGGAAAAGGCGCTAGGTGGCACCCATCGTCTTTAGTGGGTGGACTGGCCACGATCCGGCGCATCTCGCAACGTGTGCGATGGGTGCCTGTGCTCACCGACTTTCGTCAGCGAGGCGTGAAGCAAACTTGGGAAGAGGGCGGAAGAAGAACGCGGAACAGAGAGGGCGAGAGAGCGGGAGAGCTAGTCATTGCTTGATCGGAGCCGGTCCAGACCTTGGTCGGTCAGCAAACAGCTGGCTAGTGTGGGCTATTGGTCGCTCAAGATGATGATTGGTGATGATGGACGATGCGATGACACTTGTCAGCTGCTGTTGTTGATTCTGATGCTTCCGCCAGCAACGGGCAGGATCAGAGACGGTAGCGGAACGAGTAGAAACGCTGCTGGAGCCTGCCATATTCCGTCAAGCTAGGACTGAGCCCTCTGAAGGGGGAAAGGAGCTCGAGACTCTGCATCTGCGGGTGCTTCGGCGTGTCAAGCCAGCGTCTGGTCTTCTGACAATCTCGCATCGCACGCCGATATTGTTCTGGCGTCTCATGGCCCCGACGCAAGCTTGTTTCTCTTTGGACGTTTTGCGATGGCCGTTTTATCCCGAAGTAGAAGTGCCATAGGTAGGTACATAGTCACATAGTGCAGCTGGTGGCGTGTGGAATCTTGGTTTCCGTCTTTCGGACCTCGCAGATTTTGGATCTTTCGTCCCGTGTGCGGCGGCCGGAAGCTGAGGTTATCCGCTGCAAGCTGGACAAGATTGGGCAAAGCGAGACAAGCCTTCCATCACACTGAAGTGTAAAAGACGATGATGACTGGGGGTGGTAGAGAAGCGTGAAGAGGTCGGAGGGAGCTGGGGTGACCGTTGGAGGTGTTCCTGAGTCTTTCGCCCAACGTTCCATTGCTGTCTCCAATGACAAGAGGAGTGGACATCAGCTGAAACATCTGCAGCTTCTTGGGTGGAGACTTTGGACCCACCTTCAAACCCAGAGAGTCCACACCTTCCTCCTTCCTCCTTCCATCACACCCAGGGGAGCAGGTACGTATCTTTTCTCTGTCATCGTGAACAGGAGGGAGGGGAAAGAGCCACCTCGTGGAGCATACCTAGGTACCTAGGTAGGTAGGGGAAGAATGGAAGGGGCGGGGGATGTACCAGGACAGGTCCCCGTCCTCAGGCTTCCTTCCATCTTGCACCTGCCTCGGACGGATACTTTGTCATGGTTTTTGTCTCGTCAACGTCCTTCACTTTTTGTCTAGGTTGCTTGCCCTTCACGATGGCACTAGCTCCGTTGGCTGACTGACTGGGCTCGACTAACGGCAAGGCATGTGTGTCATGTCTAGGTATTGTGGTGAAAGTAAATGGGAGAGAGTGCGTATGTGTGTGCCTTGTGTCCTGTGCACACTTGCGTAGCCTCTACGGATACGTGGTTGGAAGGAAGGATTCAATCGACCGATGTGCTGATGGGATGGCCAAAGATGGGACAGATGACATACTGGTTGGTTCTATAGAGAGGGAAATGCCCTGTATCAAGACATCTTGTTTGAAGGAAGATGCTGGCTATCGCCACTGTGGTTTATTGTAAGTCGTAATGGTGGTAATGGGCTTTTTTGCAATATGGCCTTTCATGCCGCGAGACTGCAATTATTCACCATGTGCTTTTCTTGGAACAGAATAAGAACGTAAATTAGTTAGACTCTAGCCACAGAGTCCGTGGTAAATGCCGTATGATTAGGTGAGTTATTCTGAGCTTCTTACCCCATCCCACCATGTTCAGGACTCAGGAGACACGTCCAAGTATAGTCACGACCCCTGCACCACTTTGCCCCTCACCTTGCTCTACCGTGGTCCGTAACAGACTCGTCCATATTACCGTCCATGTATACATGTATACTCCGTACTGATAGTGGAGGCTAAGAATGCTCCAGGAGCAAGACAGAAAGGGGAACCTCGCCCGGCCCAACTTCGTTTCGTAATCCTCGTGATGCTTTGTGTTGTTTTCAGCCATGGGAACTTGGGAGGGAAGGCAGGTCCCGCGAGAAGAGACGTCACTCTCTCAGGCACCAAACTCCAAGGCCCACGGGTACGGCGTGCCTCCCTGATGTGGATGCGACGTATCGGTACCTTGGGCATGGAGACGACGGATGACTGACGGCGGGCGCCGGCCCACGGAAGGAGACGTCCCACCTCTTGTCGTCCCACCACTGCCCGGCCCCCAAAGGAAGGAAAGGACTTCCACTACTCCGTAGGTACGTAGTAGGTAGGTATGGACGGATGGAAGGGCTGGACTTGGCAGGCAGCGGGAGAAGTAGCCCCTTCCCTTCCACCCAGTTCGACCCCTCAAAGCCCGATTCTGAGTTGACCTCATCTTCATCTTAGTGTAGTAGGCACACAGGCGCGTTATGTGTTAGTTATGTATGTATAGAAAAAAAGCCGTATGCAGAGCCATCGTACTCTCCATTTTTGCCCACTCACCTTTGTCACTTAGAAAGTTGTGAACCCCCAACTTAATATTCGACCCATCAGCCAAGCCACGGCGCCACTTCGACATGGATCAGCGCGCCAAACCCCCTTCGAAGCTTCAATAAGTTGGAACCAGCGTCTGAGCCGGGGCCTTGAACATGGACATGCCATGCCCATGGACCTCATTCTCGACTTCGACCTGGACTCCTTGGCCTAGATTCCGCCACACACAGCATCGATTTGGTACACTACGGATACCTACAGGACCTTGATCGGAGTCTGAACTTCACCTCATGCAGCACGACGGATCCCATCTGATTCTATGGTGGCCCCATCCCCCATCTCCCCCCGCCGTCCGTAAACTCATCTACTTACAACATTTGTACCTTACAGAGGAGTACTTTTGTGCGGATACGCAGCGAAACCATCTACTTACGACACATACCCTTCCCAGCAATCTATGAAGCAACAGGCACCTTTCGAGTCTGGCTGTACTAGCGTCTTTGCGGTCCCTTGACCGTCGACATATCCCAGATCGATCAAAGCCATCTCTGCTCTTCTCTTAGGCTCTAGACTCTGGCAGTGCATCGGAGCCTCCTCCTTCGCCCGCCCGCCCTCCATTAATCCCTCCCTCCCTTTCGTCCCTTCATCCCCTCCTCCACGGCAAGCTGACTACATGCCACCGCAACCATGATCCATCACTGCCGCTGCGATACGACGCCATCCAGCATCCGGACTACTCTATCCCATCCCATGCTGCCAGTCACTACTCCTTCGACGCATCTCGATATCCCGGCTTGCAGCAGCCCCGTCTTGAAACGTGGAGGCAGATTCCCATGGGCCAATCGCAAATCGCACATTCGCACCCCCGGCCTGCCCACCACGGATCGTCCGCCGGCTACGTATCGAGATGGCCGAACTGGTCCCATGTCGCCGCCGTCCTACTATACATCTCTATGCGGCACCTGGCCTCGCGACGGCCACACTATGCGATACCCTGCCGCACATCAGCCCGCATCGCGCTGACGACGGCTCTCTCAACCTGCTCGTCTTCACGTCGCCCTATCTCTCATATACTGCCACGTACCGGTACGGGTACCATTAGTCCTTAATATCTGACGCGCCTGGCTCTGCCCAGTAGCCTACTGTACTTGACGGAATAGCCTGCAGAGACAGCACGCCATCCTTACTGCACTGATCGGTCGTCGTCAGAGTCTCGTCGCTACGGGCGAGCTGACGCTTCCCACAAGCTCTCACGCCATACGCTGCTGGGTGGTGGGTGGGTGACCCAACGCTTCGTCTCGTCTTGCGTAGTGTCTACGGAGTAGTTGGCTGCACTACATTGGCGCAGGGGCCATGATCCCTGTTGTCCGTAGGCCAATGGCCATTTGGCAGCACGCGACTGAGAGATGCCGTCCCATGGATGATGGAGCTGCCAAAACGACGACGACACCACAGCCGTTCAGGGCTATGCTCACAATTAAGAATCCCATGCGATGCGGAAGAGGGCCTCTGAACAGCCGCGCTATCTTAGATACGGATCCTGGACGTTAGCAAAACGAGGCATATGCACATGCGTCCCGGTGTGCAACTGTGACGAGAACCAGACATCCATCACCTGCAGTCGACAAGCGGCCGCCTAGAGCAGCTGCGTGCCTGTGGTTCGTGCTGGATTGGACGGTGAAGCAAATGGGAGTTATCCGTCTCTCGCCAGTTCGTACACCTCATCCGCCGATACAATGCGCTAAGATGCATTGTCTGTTGTCAAGGGCCGGCTCCACGTCCTAAGCCTCAGAAGTGTCAGTGGCACATAGCAAAGTCGCACTTGAAATGGCTTCAGAAGAAGCAGCAAGAGAAAGAAGAGAAACAGAAGCACCGCGAACACTCGAGCAATCAGCCAGTACAGCGCACGGGCCTCACCACCTCGTGTTGTGAAAGTGAGATGGATGGAAGGTCACAGACAACAGAGACGTTTTCTACGGCGGAAGCACGGGCTGGCGTCACATCTAGTGGCAGTCGACAAGTTGAGACAGGCCCAAGGGCTGCCATTTGCCAAACAGATTGCCGCAAAAGTCAACCTGGAAGCTCAGCTCCAAGGCTCGCACCCTCCTCCTCCCCTTGGACTGGACTGGCACCACCCAGCCCCCGAATCTCCGTCAGATTAGAGTCGGTCTCTTCTCTCTGTCCCAACCTAAGCAACCAAGGCACCGCGTGGCTGCAGCGCCGTTGGATATTGCAACCGCAACACATGCACAAAGCACACAACACAATGGTGACAAAGGAAGCACTAGGCCGTTGGCGGGGTCTACCGTCTACCGCCGCCTATCGCCTCTCCCGGCCGCCCTATGGCTTCTCTTGGTGCGCCCAGCCATGTGGTTTTGCTGGCCTCATCTGGTTGCTTGCATCTATCCAACCCGTCTTGACGGTATCACTCAATGGTCGCCCAATCGACATCTCATTGCCAAGGGGGGTCATGACAGCCAAAACACGCTCCATGCGGTGGCCACCGAGCGACATGGGCAAAACAATTGCGCCCCGGCACTCGCTTCGGCTTCTCCCGACCGACTGAACATTCATTCACCTGCACATGCCCGAGGTCTGGTGCGTGCGTGCGTGCTCAGGGAATTCGGCCCTCTCCCCAGCACTCTCACCTCTCTAGCCCACGGTCAGATACCAATCCGGTCAGAGATGGCATACCTGAGCCCTTGTCCCCATCCACGGTCCACCCCATCACGGATCCCAGTCTCGTCAAACGAAGCACTTCCTTGACAAGTTTCACGCCCAATCCCGGGTCTCAGCTTGCAGATCGATGGATAATCTGCGCCTCAGGGCCTCCCATTTGCATCAACCGAGCAGCCGCAGCACAACCACCGAAGAGCGACCTGAAAGAACGACAAGGAGCCATTCTACAACAGCGCTTGTTTACGGCATCTCTGCCGACCTTGAAGTGTGCCAATGGAACGACAAACTTGAGATAGATCCCGTCCGCCCTGCCATGCCTATATCACGTCCATTATATCAGTCGGCTTAACTATTTGGAAATCTAAGCCCTGCCCGGACGTTTCCCCTGCGGAGATCATCGTTCAGACGGAGTATCTGACGCCATGATCTACTACGGTCCAATCTGATGCACAAGCAACAAGCACAAGGCCACGGGGAGTCGCCCTAGTCACCGGCAATAACCAGCACGCCAAGCTCCCACGGTAACCATTCCTCCTCCTCCTCCAAAAAAGTACGCAAACCACCACTCAGCACCGTTCTCACCTGCGCCCTCTGCAGAAGCAGGATGATAGCAGGATGATGGTCCCCGACGATGGACAAGCTACAGGCAGTGCACCCGCACTAGCACAGCACAGCACAGCATAATAGAGCCCCGAGCAGCAAATGTGAAAGCTGCCACTTCTCGAGCCAGTTACACAAATCACCTCAACTCAAGACAACGCCCCCCCTGTCCCTACAAGTGGACATGGACCCTCGTCGAGACCAGCGGCCAGTCGGGGGCTTTTCTTCCCACCGGCGTGCCCAAACCTACTGTGGGGAAGTCTAAACAACGACGACATCCCTTCCCCTTCAACGCATAATGCCCAGCATCCTTGCGTTGCCGCAAGTGGAAACTCTGATCAGATTCACTAGCTCTCCCACTCTTCTCTTGCACAGTGATCATGCTGGCTCCCGTTGCGAGCCTCCTCTCTGTCCCCATCTTTTCCTCCGATGCTTGCTCGCGGCTTTCGGGCCTTGCCCCTAGCCTAGTCGTCGGTCGTGGTTGTTGGACTTGGGAGCCCTGACCTGACAGACTGCACTTGGGCTCGGTCCAGCCATCCGTCGTCGTCCTGGTCGTCGTCGTCTGCTTCTTCCTTCATGTACCCATCTCAAGCGTATTTGACCTAGTCATGACATTCGAAGCTGCTGCTGCTTCTGTTGTGACTGTCTCTACACCCTCCGCCCGGATTCCTAAACAGCTACCGTCTTCAACCCCTACCGTCCCTTCATGCGTTCTCAGCACAGCCCTACTTCACCTCTGTCCCTGACCCCCCGGGCTCGTCCCCGTCTCTCGCTGACCATTCGTCCTATCTTTTGTTTCTTCTTCTTGTGTCTTTCAGAACACTAGCCTTGAACTCCCCCTTCACATTTCAACATCATCCGCATCTGTCTGAAGCCTGCCAAAATCTGTCACTATTTGGTTTATGTCGAGGTTGGCGTGTGCCTCATCCATGGCATGATAGTACTTGCGCTCCCGAAACGAAACTTTGACGAACTTCGCCGAGCCTCTTGCCGTTGTTGACAAGTACTCCCGGAGGAAACGAGCACCGATTCAGATTCAACCTTTGGACTGTACTTTTCTTCTCCCTCTTCTCGAAGCACAAGATCACGACGTTTGAGAAACAGCCTCGCATTCGGAGCATCAGGAATCTAGAAAACCGCACCAGCGTTCGGCAAGCCACTCTTGCGTGTCTGCACGACGTCTCCTACTTTGACACTGCCACCCGTCAACCCCCTTGATCGTACAGCTTTGGGGCCTCAGCTACGGTACGAGGAAGTCACTGTTTCCTCTGCTCTGTTTCTCTCGGTTCGAGGTCGATCCGACATCTGCGAACTGCCAGGGCGTGTTCAAGCTAAGAGGTGTTAAAGTCCCTTTCGGATGACCCTTCAAGTACACCACTGGGCAACTTGAAGGTGTTTCGGCTGTTTCAATCCGCTTTTGGAACTGTCAGTGCGACTCTGAAACGGCGATCCCAACGATAGGTCTGATATTCTTATCGTTTGCTTCTTAACTTGTCATCGCCTCCTGTACTACCCCTTCCCCTTCCCTCGTCGCCTGCCCGCCTCCCGGGCGCCACACACAAAAGCTTTGGGATCTCCCATCAACCTTATCGCCTTCCTACGCTTCCTCCCACCACTGTCACCTTACCTACATGTCCCCCTAGTTGTGCGACCTTCGCAACCTGGGTTTAACAGACGACGAGTATCCGATGTATCGGACTGGATCCTAGAGATCGGACATTATCTTCTTCTCACCAATAACTATCATCAACAACAAGAGACAGGTTCTCGACAACTCCGCTGAGGATTACAAGTTGGACTATTACGAACTGAATATCACGATACCCGGCGGACGTAAAAGAGGGAGCATTCAGGGACACATATCACGACATCACCCCAAGGGACCGCCAAACTGGATTCGTTTCGGCGACAAAACTTCTCCCACGTTGTCCGCGCTTGAGCGATGGACGTGACATCACTACTGAACGTAGCGGCGGGAAAAAAGCCATTTATTCGGGACAACTCACTCGAAACCACTTCTGTACCGATTTTCCAAAGACAAATCACCACATCGTCCCCGGAGAAGACAGCTTCTTCTAGGCGGACAAGCGACGCTAGAGCACCGCGGAACCGCACGCCATGGGATGCGGGCGGTTACTCTCTTCACCTAGCTCTTGACAACAAGTTTCCTGCTTCCCACACCAAGCCTACATACTACAGCGAATCCGACGTGGATCAGTCGGCTTCCACGAGCTCTTGCGACGCTCCTTCATCGAACTGCCATTCTAGGGCCAGCTCTCTCAGTTCTCTGGCACACGAGATGGCGCATTCCGCCAACATCACTCCAATGACGAGTACACACCCTGGCCGGTATGTATTGCATGGTCCCGTTCTTGGCGCAACACTGGTGCACTTGTGTATTTGGACGACCTCGTAGACTGACTCCCTCACGAAGCCTGGCATACCTAGGCGAGCCAGAGTCGCAACTTCATGTTGCGACTGGCCGAAGGTAAGCCAGCTTGGGAGGTTGCCTAAACTCCTGACATTTTCCACATCGTTCTTAATAGTACTCAGCGGCTAACATTTCCAAGGACTAGCATTTCCGGTGATTCGGATGCTCAACTAACAGCGAGGTAAGTACTTGACCCAGTCTTCCCTGCCGTTGCGCTGGCCTTATCATTGAAAGGCGATTGTGTGTCGACGGGATTATCTCGTCGGAATTGCAAGAGTCTCGATGCTACAGAAAGGTGCTCTCGTTTTACCTGTAGATTCTAATCTCGTCCAGGCCCAACCTCCCCCGCGAAGATGATGGGCACCACGTAACAGGAGGATTTCCCAAATCCCCGAAACATAAGTTCTCCGACAGCCACAGCAGTTTGTCATCGTACACCTCCTCAAATCAATCTGGAGGACACTCGAGGATATCCTCATTATCTACTGTGAGCGGCATTCAGCCGTTCACGTCCCTGTTGAATGATGTCCCGGCTTTTGACACAAAACTCGATCACCAGCAGGGTATGGGTGGCCCGGGCATGATTGATGTTCAGCCTCCATCCCCGCGAACGATGGGCCAACATGACCCAATAGCTTTGGATCCCGCGATGAAGGGAACTGGGCGACCAGGTAGTCCATCAGATGCTATCTTGATTACCAGAGGTATGGGTGGTAGCAACCGATCAAGTCCAACTGATGGTTTGAGGTACGTGAAAATATGTGCTTCGTGATGTACTCCTTCCCAACTCTTGCCCTCGATCTCATGAGTCTTGAGTTTGAAAGAGATCGCTAGACAGGAGCAGTTCGGGTTCAACTCTCCAGATCGCGCTTTTCTATCACCTGGCTCAACTCAAATCGCACCTCCCCCTATCCTGATTTTATCTTGCCAACCACCATTCGTTTCACTTCACCTACCGCATCTTCACTTCACCTACCGCATCTTCACTTCACTCTCTTCATTCACCTCACGATAGCCTCGACCTCACGTGAATGAACTTCACATCGAACAGCGATCTCACACGTGACCTGACCGGGTCGCTCCTTCCCTTTCATCTGACTGTGTGAATCGAACCTGCGGTCTCAAGGAGGCCTTGTGATTCACATCGAATTCCCTTTCACCGCCTTGAGACCGCCTTCAGCATCACGATAATCCTCCTTTCTCCAGTCTATTTAAACCACCGTTCGGAGACTCGATCCCTCTTCCCCCTTTCCTCTCCATCACACAACTCCTCCGTTCTTCCTCCAAACAAACGAGATCGTTCGTTCCTTCTACTTTCTCCAAACAATTTGGACCGCCCAATACTACTTAAACTCCATTCCGAGCTGGACTCTTTACTGATTACATCGAGCAATAGCCCTCACTCAAAACAACAGCAAGACAACCTCAACTACCTATCATTACCGCAAGACCAATCTTCAAGAACTCACAAAAGGGCTGTTTCCGCGCCCGACTTTGCCGCTATTTCTGCGCCTACCTTCCAACCTTTCCCTTCGGTTTCAGAAACCGCGCCTTTCCCACCGCAACAGCAGCAACCTTACGGTATGTCGCCTCCCGATTCTCCCCCTGCCGTGTCGGGCAGCGACGAGATCAAGTGTATGTACATTGAGAACTGCGACACTGGATCTCAGCCTCGCAAGGCCATCTCGCACATCTTTGGTCGCAATAAGCTCTGCACCCGCATGATTCCCGCCCACGTCTGGGTTCATTTCTGCCGCAAGCACTACCAGCGAAGCCGTTACCGCAACGCCCACGAGTACTCAAAGCTCCAGGTCGATCTCGTTCAAAAGCAGATCGCCAGAGTTCAGCAGTGGAGCGATGAGAATGAGAGAGCTGGCAAGGCAGGCGTGGTGAACAGCTGGTCTCTTGCCATCCGCAAGCGAGAGCAGAAGCGATTGGAGGACAAGAAGGAGTCGAAGAAGCGTGCCTACCAAGATGAGTCCGAGGACGAGCAGCTCGACGGTGCTATGCTCAACGGCACTGCCGTCCCCGAATGGCTCCTCAGCAAGTGCGGTGCTGGATACACCACTGTTGCTATTCAGGAGATTGTCGCTCAGTTGAAGACCGAGATCGACGGTGGCAGCCTGAGCCAGATCCCCGACATCGAGATTCTCCCCACCATCAGCAGCGACGGCCCCGACGAGAAGCCCAAGACCTACCTCAAGCGCAAGACAAGCGGCGGCGCTGCTCACAAGCGTTCCCAGTCGATGGGTGTCGCCTTGAGACCCGAGGCAATGCCTATGGCTAGACGCGTCAGCCAGCCCAACGCCTACTGGGGCCACGACAGTAACCACACCTTCTCACTCGAAAATTGGGTCCAGAATACTGATATATCTCTAGCCGGCTTCTACGAGGATCGCAATGCGATTCCCGGTATGCCTCGAGTTCCGTCTGGCATGCGTCGCATGAACATCCCGCACCGCCCTGCCTTCGGCAACATCCGCGAGAACCATCCCGAGGAGGATTACTACCGCCAGCCCCAGATGGGCTCTGGCCCCTTCATCTTCGGTGCCGGCGGTCCTCAAGGTGGCCCCCTTCCTGCCCCTACTCCTCAGCGTCGCGGCAGCAAGTCTATGGCCTCTCACCTCGAGACCTCGACTACCATGCCTACCTATCCTGACCCTCGCCGGGCATACCATCAGCGATCTCAGAGCGAGATTGGCGGAGGCTTCCACCAGGGACAGGCTCCCACGTACCGACCCAACTCGTCTTCGGGCTTCGCTCCTTACGGATACGCTCCCAACCCGGTTGACCAGCAGCCGCAGCAACAGCAGCCGCAAGACCAGTACGATGGCACCTACCCTCGTCCTCACGACAACCCGTTCGCCCAGGCCGCTCAGCCCAACTACTATGAGGATCCTCAGCGTCAGTACGCCTACGGCGCTTCTCCGTTCCAGCCGAATCCCGCCTCTCGCCTTGGTCCCGTTGGCGCCAACAGACACACCCGTCACCAGAGCACTCCGAACGCACCCCGTGCCATGCACCGCGCTCCCTCTGCGCACGGCTTCGCGGTGGCCCCAAACCAGCAGGGCTATGATCGCACTCCCGAGCACTCGCGCCATTCCTCCTACGCCACCCCGCCCATGCAGCCCATGCAGCCTATGCAACCCATGCAGCCCATGAATGACGGCACCCGTCACTGATTGGGGCAATCCGAGATCGAGACAAGAAACAAGCACTCTTTTGAAACGGCCTTCCTTATACCCGCATTCATGTCACGTCGACACGGCATCAAAATCGGAGTCAACATTGGGGGACGGCAAGCGGTCATTTGGTTTTCCTACACCTCTCTCTTTCTTTAATATCTCTCTCTCTCTCTCTCTCTTTTTCTCCTCTCGTTGCACGGCCAATTTTTGCATGAGGAATAGCGGAAAACAAAATTCACATTGTACACCACGGACTTTCCTTTATCTCTCTCTCTCGGCAAGGGCTTGGCCACGTACCTGCCGCCCTGGCAACGATCGAATGATGGATGACTGGACATCGCACGGATCAACGGCACACGCTTGACACAAGCAAAACTCGGGGGTCGGTTTTGGGTTTCTTTTTTAGAAAGTCCTAGATGGGCAAGGCAACTCTTTCACTATTTCCGACTTTTTGCTGCTCTAGCAAAGTCGATCTGGAAGCACGACTCGGGTGATGGTAGGGAGTGGAACTGGCATTTGTACGAATACGGGACGGAGGCTGTCGGCGGTTTTGGGTGGTTTCTTCTGGCGGACGGACGGATGGGAAGGGACTGGGTTTTGGGATTCATTACGGATCTGAAAACGGCGTTGACTTTTCCGGTTCTTGCTTTTTCTTATTCTTCTTTTTGCCCCCGACGCGCTTTTTTTTCTTCGCTTCCACCCGTCTCCCAGCTCTTCTGCATTTTTCTGCCATTGGTCAGTTTTGCGGAACGGTTCCTCCCTTCTACTCTCTTTTCTTCTACCTGGCTTCTTTCACGCTCTTGACAATGGGCCATTCTATCTCACGAATCGGCCCAAGTCGCAGAGCAACGGCAAGTTGTCACGGGAAAAGATACTAGATGTGAAAGGGGAACCGGAGGGGATTATGGAAGATGGCCGGGGAGTGGAATGAAGCGGACGCGAAACAAAAAATTTCCTTGGACCTCGTTTGATAACGCTTCGTCTTGCAAGGGCTTTGAACGCTTAGATAGCTCAGCCTAATGAAATACGCAGTTAAGATAAGGTCTTTCTATATGCCTCTGTGTGAAATGATGTGATTGCCAAACATTGCAGTCGTGGCTATCTGTGTCTCTGATGGATGAATAATGGGGGAGATAAACTAAGGAGAGAATGCGTGATTCCGAGGCTATCCCTGCGGAAAACTTGGACGATTCACATTGTATGATAACGTTCCGTCTTTCAAATTTGCCCTGATCGATTCTCGATATGGGTGTCGAGGTAAGCACCTCGCCAAAAAGGTCAAGAAAAGTAGTACATTACTGCAAAAGTGTGCCGAACATCCCCCAAACGCCTCTTTCTCTTCACAGCGGAAAGACGCAGTTTACCACAGCACCTGTGTCGAGACAGAATAGATCAAAGGTAAACCTAGAGGACTTGACCTCCACAAGCTCGAGTCGTACCATCACCACATATAACAACCCTAGAGGACTTTCACTTGACGCTCACTAGATGAAATGCGTCTTCTTTTTATAGGAGGATTAGTTTCATGGAGGATTAAACACAATCACAGCAATAGCCTCTCTGTACCAGGATGGAAAAGGGTGTCCCTACAAAAGGCCTCTCTCTCGATAGTTGGTATGTCTAATGAGCTCATGCAAACCGCACAAATTGCCCTTCCAGCTTTGTGTTTGTCTACTCTCTCCCAACCGCTCTATAAACGCTAGTTATCAAAGAGCAAATCCCCGTCGCTCTCGATATCATAAAGTTATACACCCCGTGAGTTCATCTATACGTCATCTCATTCATAAATTTCATCGACCCAAGAAGCCGTACAGGGCTTCAACCTCCAGAGTCCAAGGTAGAACTCTCTCTTACTCCCTAAACATAATTGACCCGCCATCCCACTCCGCAAGCCTCCCCACATTCGCCCGCCCCTTGACGACAAACCCGAGCCTCTGATAGAACGGCTCAACCCCGACAAGCCCGATAAGCCACGCCGGCACGCCCTCCTTGTCCACCTGCGCCAGGCCCTCCCGGACGAGCAGCGACCCGAACCCGTTCCCCTGGTCGCCAGGCGCCACCGCCAGCGTCGAAAGGTACCACGCCGTCTTGCGCGCCGGGTATTCCGGGTCCTGCGTCAGCACGTCCGAGGCGATGTGCGTGTCGTCAAAGATGGTGAGCATGGCCGGGTCGAGAGACCTCGGAGGCCAGAGGTAATCCGTGAGGGAGTTGATGCCGAGCAAGATGGGCTTCAGCCAGCCGCGGAGGGTGAGGTAGCCCTCGGTCGCGGCCTTCTCGGCCGGGGTGGGGTAGGGGCGCCGCCACCAGCTGAACGCGGCGACGCGCTCGCCGGAGGCTGAGTCCGGGTCAGGGACGGTGAGGACGTGGAAGAGCTGCTGCTCGGGGCCCCAATAGCGCGCGTAGAAGTAGCGGTGGGCGGCAGCGCGCCAGTCCTCGGGAAACTCGCGGCGTCGGGGGTGCATCTTGTCGACGGCCCAGTCGTTGCCGAAGGCGGCCATGTAGACGTCTACGATGGCTGCCGTGTCGGCAGAGGTTCCTGGGCGGATACGAAATTGTGGCTTAGACATTGTTCCGGGATTTCCAAGTGTTGTTGGAGGCTTGTAAGTTTGTTAGTCCAAGGTTCAACGAGATCATGGGGAAGTAGTCATGTGGTGTCTGGCGGATGGCATAAAGGTCCGGTGGGAGGCCAAAGCCGAAGCCGATACGACAAAAGTGGGAACAAGACTTACAGACGGTGCGAAACTATCATTCAATTGGCTAATGAGGGGCGAAAACAATGACACAATCCGGTTGCTAGATGGGTTGATGGGCAAAGAGTAAGAAATGTGCCGTGTCCAATTCTATTGGTATGACAGGTGGTCTGAAAATAGATCAAGTCAGGATAGGGTCCTACAGACAACTTCACGGGAAGCGTCTCGATTTGAAGGTCTTCGGTATGTCATCGCAAGGACGAGAGAAGTTGGTTCCTTGGCTTGTTGGCACTAACAAACCGAATGACTCAACCGGGAAGCACGCAACGCGGGGAAACTGCTCCAAAAGTTCCTGCATCTGCAGGGGAATAGCCTTGGAGCATTGGAGTTTGATCCCAGTCTTGGTCTTTCGGAGCTGGTCCGGCGTAACGCGCCGGCTCGACTGGCAACACCCGGATGCGGAGACCGGTCGGCCGAGGACACGGCCGAAGCAGACTACACGTTTGTCGGGCGAATTCCCACCTTGCAGAGTGTCGCCCCGGGCCGAGGATCGCGGAGGTCATCGGCTACAAGTGGAGCTTGTGCTTCACAGCACACCAACTTGTCGTGTGCCGGGCATGTTTAGTAGTCTTGACCCCCGAAAAGCTGCACGTCGCTAGAGCAGTTGGCTGTAGGATTCGGATCCCTGGTGAAAGACTCATGTCGCATCGACGTGGAAGTGGTGCAGCTTGGGAGTCTGCACCCGCGGAGCTGACCAACCCTACCCTTGCAGAATCCACGCGGAACAAGCCGTGGCTCCCGTCCTATGGTGCCTACGGTGGGAGGGAGTGGAGGAGACGGGACGGTTGGAGAGAAGATGCCCGACTCCGTCGTGGTCGACTCTCAGAGATCTGGATTTAACCGTTTGGTTATCTCCAAGGCAATCCGTTCCCGTAAGCCGTAAGGCGGGCTCGAGTTCGTCCGCATGACCAATCGTCGACGTCAAGAAGAATCTAGCCACAACAAAGGGAGGTAACGGTGGAAGTTTGGCCATGGGCACGAAAGTTCCGAGAGAATAGGCACAGAAAATGCTGTGTAACGTCGGATGAGGAGCCGTCTCTGGCTTGAACGGTCCCTTTGGCTAGGGGGCGTCTGAATGAAGCAAGGCATGGGCAGCTTCTCCTGGGCGCCGTGATCCATCGTGTCAGCCCTACGCGAGGGGACGGCGGTGAAGACACATGGGGCTTGCTGACGACTCGAGGCGATGCGGCACGTCATTGCTCAACTCTTCCGGACCGGATTCGGGGCTTAACGACGGTCGCGGTCGCGCATGCAGGTTGTTGAGATGATTCTAGCACGTTTCGATTGGTTCTGGAAGATTGCGAGGTGTTCGTCTTGCCAAACTGCATGGAACTATTTTGTCTATTTTCGTTGTTGGCCTGTCTCACACCGAGACATGGGACACAAAAGATGATGATAGTATCTGGCTGCAATCGGTGGTAAATGTTGATGGTGTCCTCGTTGGTTGGCGGAGGTCATGTCCGTTGCGGTGATGGGATAATGGGTGAGGGCGACACTAGTACGAATGCAGAAGACTGTGGATTATGTAAGATGTCGATGTCAAGGGCCCAAGCGCAGCTCAGCAAGTGACACCTGAGATGATTGGGGCAATTGGGGCACATGTGGGCGGGACGTGTGGATATGGCAGGCAATAATGGGCAGTGATCACTGATCGGGAGGAAGGAGGAGACAAGACTCGGGAAGGAATCACGACAGGTGCCGAGAAAGAATACGTACCGTAGCTTATCTTTCCCATCTTGTCGAGTTCCCTTGTCAATTGGAAGGGAAGGACTCAAGCATCTGGAACCTGGAATCTGGAATCTGCCGCTGCTGGCCACAAGTCTCGAACCCGGGCTTTCGGTATGTACCTTTGGTAAAGTACAGTCAGATGTGCAGAGAATGTTTTGTTCCATTGGCTAGACCATTTGTGTCTTTGATTGCGAGTGTCAGTCAGAAACTGGCCCTCGCGGCGTCGCCTGGCCAAGACTGAACAGCGTCAGACATCATTATCCGATGTAGCCGCCACACAAGAACAGACAGACTGCTGGGCTGGAAGAAAGGAAACGGAAACAAGCCGGCTCTTGCTGATCGCAACCGTCCCCAATACCGTCCTGAGGGCTTGACTGTCGTGAGTCGTCATTGTTTACTGAGCAAAGAGCGAGCCTGCCAAGTTGTCCCCCGTTCGCCGTTCTCGTGTTACACATGTGCCTTCGTGGGTTGAACAAAGAGACGAGTGACATGGGCGGCAACGACATGGACAGCATTGAGCATTGAGCATTGAACATGGTTGAAGATGTGTGCCCATCTTCAGTGGCCGTCGAGTGGTAGGCGGGGCCGGGATTAAGACTGTATCGAGGAAGGATCCGCTTGGGTTGACTTGTTCCCCCCCATTGCCCCCCTCCATTTGATTCCCTTCTTGGCTACAAGAGGCCACTCGCGGAGAGTCTGGACCTGTGGAGCATGCGGCACTAGTAGGGAGCATCGCAGTTGAGAGAACGGCTAGCAATTCAACACTAGTGTTTTCCCGTACGGGTACGCAATGGAAGTACTCCGTACACTTGCTTTGCGGCAGGTATCCGGAGCTTGTGGTTGCGCCTACCTCACCTTAATAATCCTCAGCCCAGCTCCAATCCAACAAATCCAAACATCCCCAAGACCTCGTCTGTCTAAGCTACCTTAGGCTTGCCTCTGCCGTTGCATTTGCTACCGCTGCCGTCGCTCGCTGTTGCCGCTGCCGGTCCTGCATGCATTGATCGGCTGTGCTTAATCACCTCGCGGATAGTCCACTTCACTGCTGTGCTGTCCCTGCCGACAACTTTCCGCAGAATCGAATTCGTGGTGGGACACATCCAAATTCGTTTTTCCTTTGACCCTCCCAGGCTCGCACCAACGAAACTCTGCTTCCACCAACTCTTGCGTCAATTTATCTCTTCGCGTCGTTTTGCCCTTTGGCGGCACCCCGCGCTTCTTTAGCTGAAGCTGCGCTGCTTGTTTGGAAACACAACATACGTGAGGTAGCGACTACCCAACCGCACGACAAATAGTATGGCGAGACAGGTCCAACGCCTTGCCGTGACGCCGCCGTCCGAGGATTCTGACAACGTCAACTCAAGTTCGCGTTACACAAATCGTTTGTCGTCGTCTTCAAGTCACCAGTCTGCCGCAGACGCCCCGCCCCGCGCCCACCGCGCTTGCGAAAAATGCACTCGAACCAAGAAGAAGTGCGACAAAGGTCTGCCCGCTTGCTCGAGATGCACCAGGTGAGTACTTTTTTTACCCTCCAAGAAAAGAGAGGTTGCCCCTGCCAAATTGTCAACACCGAGGTATTCTGACTTACCTTTCAGACTCACCACCAACTGCTGCTACGACTTCGTCGTCAACCCACCATCCCTGACCATTGTTGATTCGCAGGGCGTCGCTGGCAATGCGTCTTCTTCTTCCAACGGCGACGCGCGGCCTGCCTTCGACTGGCTCAACCAGGTCGATTTCACTGCTGGTCAGATAATGCAGCTTTTGAACGGTAACGGCATCGACTGGAAAGCTTCCATCAACACCTATTTCAACACCGTCAACACCTGGCTCCTCGTGATTCATCCGGAGGTCTGGCAAACACGTTGTGCCGCGGCTCAGCTTGACAGCAACCCCAAGGATTCTGATTTGGCGTTGGTTGTATTGTGCATCCATCTCTTAACTATTTGGAACTGCGACGAATTCTCGTCCACCGCCATGCTTCATCATCCGCTCTACCAGTCAGCCAAGCGTATATGGACATTGAGGAAAGCCTTTTCGAAACCTAAAATCGAGCACGTTCAGTGTGGTGTTCTGTTATCGTTGTACGAGTTGGGGCACGGCGACATCACTCGTTGCTATCGTACGTTCGGCGAGGCGGCCTCCATTGGCAAGGTGTTGAATCTGAGACCGGGTAAATATGTGGAAGAAGAGGAGGACCTGGCTGCTGAGCCCGAAGAGGAGCAAAATCGAGCTCTGTGGTGGGTTCTTGTGATTATGGACAAGTAAGAGCGTTTTGGTGTCTTTCACCAGTTTCTTTGCTTACTTGACTAGGATCTCCCATGAGCAATCCGCAACACTTTGGACACCGCTCCAGATGGACATGCCCTCCGATGACGACCTTCTCCCAACGGAGCACATCCTTTGGGACAATGACAGAAACGGGCCTGTTAAGATGATCAAGCGGTACCCTACCACAATCCCAGCATCGGTGCGCGTCGGCGCCTTTCAGAGGTCTTGCCAGGCCGCCATTCTTCTCGGTTACGCCGTTAATTGGGAGGCGGCAAATGCTGAGATCGAAGAACCTCCGACTGTCTACTCGTTTGTTCAGCTTGAGTCCGCCACGAGAGATCTGATTGAGGCTCTTATCACGCGATCCGAGACTTGGAGTGAGAACCTCAACACTTATGCTCTTTGTGCTAGGTGCGTTGCTAGTTGCCGATGCGGTTGGAAATATGCTAAGACTGCCACAGCTTGTTCTGCCTCCTTTTCTACTCTTTCCTGTATACTGCCAATAGACCAGGGATGCCTGCCCGTGATCCAGAGACAGATATGGAAATGAAGAAAGCAGTTGCCGGTATCAAATTCACGATTGGTCTCGTGCTTGATGGCTCAAATGGCATCTTCAACGCCTATTCCAACCGCGATGACGTCCTGGAACACTGCGCTGCGGTTTGGCCATACGCTCTCTTTCATACGATGCAACTTCTGTTTCACTACGACTCTCTCATAGAAGGCGCAGACTCCCTCATGGCGGAAGTTAGACAGAACGTTGAGAGCACAGCTAAAAGATGGGCCTGTTCTCGTATGATCCCTGACGGCGTGAAGAGAGAACGATTTGCTGACTCTTTGTCACAGGATGGCTTTTGGAAGAGTTTGACCGGGTCCACGAAGCGAGGAGCACCGGCGTCAAAATGTGCAAAAAGTAAGCAATCCGCGACAGATTCAAGCATGCTGGGAGCTTTGAAGACTAACTTGTCTAGATGTACCCTCGGAAATATGACTTGCGGACATTATTCGGCTCCCGAATGAGTTGAAGCTCGGCCCCTCGGAAGACACCAAAATTCGACTCCGCCCGAACAGAGCCTCCGGCAGTGGAGATGACACATCGCACTGCTCCGAGATGTCACCGGCATATTTTACCATTCATGTGTGTATATTGAAACATCAAATTATACATCCACGTCTGGCGGCAGCGGCAGCCTTGTTACCGTGAGCTCTCTGCAAAGGATTGCAGTATGGACTGAGGAAGGTCCGTAGCCTTCGCCAGCCACCGGGCGATCTGTGTTGATCACACGCACCATCGCATGACAATACTTCGTCATCCTCCATGCGACCGGTCCAGAGCTCACGGATGAGGCTTGCGATGAACCCTATTCTTGCTTCAGTCTGCAGCAAGTTTTTGCGAGCCTCGAGTCTCAAGTCACTGCTTTCCGTCAAACACCGGCAAAAGCTGCAGCAGCGTTGACTGCATAGCGGGGAAAGGGGAGCCGCCTGTGCGCTGAGGAATGCCCGACGAGTTTCGCAAGGCTGTGGCTGCATTGCTTGGAAAATCAATACAAGGAGAACTCCATAGCCGTTGGAGGCACAGCGTTGGGCGATTCCCTGCAACGGACAGCCTCATTCTTGTGCGAATGTCCAAAGAATTGAGGGCGATACGCTCAACTATCAAGGATTGCGGGCTATTTGCAGTTGTGTCGTGGCACGTCGCCAATCACCAACTTGCTGGTGTTCACCAAAAGCCATTCTGCTGGTCAACCGTTGAAAACTTTGGGCACACTCTCGGACTTGGAAAGCGAAAAACAAAGGACTTTGCAGATGTCGAAGGGCAGAAGCTGGCGCCGGCATGCTCTCCAAGCACTTGCTCGTAATCGGGCTAGACTCTATACTCCGGTTCTGGGCGGGCTCTCGTGAACCGAGCTCTCTACGACGAAGCAGAGAGGCTAAGTTTGGAGTTGCTGCATTTGAACTCTGCGCCAGATGTATCGTCGCATAGCTATTCAACTTACGACAAGTGCCTAGGCCGCCTGGACAGGATATTGAGGCAACCCCTCTTTGCGCCAAAAACGGCCCATGCCTTTATCCGACGAAGTGGTCCAACCCAGATGTTCGACTCCATGGCTACGCGCAACATTCTCATCGTGTCATTAGTTGCCCACGTAGCTCTTGTGCTGGAAAGCAAAAGCAAGCCCCGCAAATTCCTCGCACGTGCCTTTTCTTCGCTTTTGCGACATTCGGGTCAACTTGCCCATCAAGATGGGCCGCAGTTGGGATGAGGAGAAGTCGGCTGGGTGGGATTTTCGACATGTTGCCCGTCCAAGCGGCAACGGCTTCTCCAGTCAGGGAGACTTGTTGTTCCAGCAGCCCTCAGCCGAGTGCAACGCGCAGGGTCACTCACCTGCTGTGTTACTCTGCCCAAGCTCTTATCCCCCGTCTGTCTCAGACATTTCGCATTCAGACTCGCAGTGGGGCCAACGAGCAAAGGCATGCTCTTGGCCTTTTGGCTTGTCTCTGTTCAGTTTATTTCTGGAACTGACTGGTCTATGCCGGAACCAGCCAAGAGGCACATGTTAACTGACCGCCACCTTGCCACCGCCACTACTTGGGCGGAAATGAAACAACGGAGATCTTTGTGGGATACTACACATCACTCATCATCATGGACTACTCCGTAGAGAGGGAAGAAGAAAAGATGGCATTCATCTGAATCATGAGAAAATTCCATCCCTGCAATATCAATATCGGTCGGGCACGACACTATGGGTCCCAGTCATTTCTCACCGGAATTTGGACAATGGCCAAATCGTCAAGAGCCGCCGAGATGAGGTAAAGCCATTATTTTGCCCAATTCTAATAGGTATTGGTGTGCTTATGGTATCTGGGGTCGAAAAAACACACAGGCAGGCTAGTGCAGTGATGCGGCCGGTATTCTGGTTTTAAGAAAAAAACAAACGCTCCTGGGAATTTTCCTCAAGGTTGTCAAAATTCCTCACCTCGCTTCAGAGACATAAAAACAAGTCCCACAAAATTCAAGTTGCCCCTCCACTATTCTCCCAGTCGCCGATGCATGTAATCAATGGACAAAGAAAAGGATTCAAACATGGGTCATGACAACCCAGCCCAGCTAAACCAAACAATAAGGAAAAAAATAGGGGACGCTATGCTGCATTCCCCACAACGAGGATGAGTAGCATACCGTTGAGCATGCAGGCTGTGAAAAAGCTGCTATACACGGCCACACGTTGCCAGATGCCCAAATCGTCGCGCCGATAAAGCGACATGCCCAAGGCGAGGCAGGCGCTGAAGAGACTGGCCACGACGCCAACTGTTACGCCAGCGTCGACCTCTGCGCGGAGCTTGTGGCGGCCCGTTGAGATGAGGATACCAGCCACAAGGAGTAGTAGGAAAGATACGCCGAAACAGCCAATGGTGGCCCAGAACAAAACGCGCTCGCGGTATCGTCGCACTTGCTGCTCGTTAATGCTGGGCAGCGTGGCATAATGCGTGGCATATCCGTTCGTAGGCATGCCATCAGAGCTCGCGTACTCGTCGTCGGTATCCGTGCCAAGTGGTGAAATACCGCCGTAGCTCTGAAGGAAGGGCTCGCTGGCCAACAATCGCTGCCCCTCAGGGTTCTGCCGCCTTGAAAACCAGGTCTTTGCGTGGCGGAAGGGCGCGGCAAGAATCGCGCGCATCGAGTCCAGGCCGGGAAAGCTCATGTCTGCGTCAGGGTTGATATAAATGGCGTATTCCTCCTCCTGTCCACCATTCTCACTGCCATCGTCATACTCATTCCAGTAGTGCTGTTGCTGTTGCTGCTGAATAGGCCTCCGGGGAATTCGCTCTGCTGGTGGCAAAGGCGTGAAGAAACTCTCTGCAGTGGACCCTCGCCTCGTGGGTGTCTGTTCGTCGGAGGAGGGCGAGCTGGGCTCGCTCAACTGAGGCGTGGAGGTACGGAGAGTGTTGAGCAGCTCCTCGTAACGTGTCTGGAGGTTATTCAGGTCGCGACGGGTAAAGCTCTTGGGGTTAGCGAGTACGTTTTCGCGGAAGCGTGCGCCGAGTGTGGAAGATCCTGTCCATTTCTTGAAGAAGCAAATCAGCAACGGCAGAATTGCGGATGATACAGTGTGCAACACCCACCTTGTACTTTTTCGTAATCTTCCGGAAAGCCGTAATCTGGGCATTGATGAAACGAGCGAGCGCAAGTGTTTCTTCTCCGCAACGAAGCAGATCCCTTTCGTACTTGGCGAACCGGCGATGCCGCTTGATCGAAATACGGTCGCCCTCCTCGGCACACTTGACAATCAACTTTTGAAGCTGATCGGCAATGTATTCTGGATCTTGCGTTAGCCAATTGGGTCCTGTATACAACAGACTCTTTAATCAATCGTGTACTTACGCAGTCGACGCGAAAGCTCGTCCGCCTTGCTGGAGACAAAAAGGTCAACCCGGTCGTGCTGTTGGCAAAGCTCGTGGTAGAGGTTATCTTCGAATCGCTTGAGAGCAGCATCTTGATGGCCGGGAATGGCGATTGCGGTCGCCTGGTCGCGGCTCGTATGAACCTTGATCTCGTGCTTGAGCGAGTTGTAATCGACGTTATCTGTTGGCGAAAGTTACCTGTCAGCTGGAATCGCCTTCACATGCCAATTGGGTCTTGCATGAACTGAATGGAACGGGGCAACCCACGTAAACTCCATTCTGGAACGGATTCCTGCTCGAGTTGTTCGCCGTATTTCATATCCTTGAAGTCTCCTGTGAAGGGATCGTCGCCAATTGCGTGGGAGTAGGTGGTCGGGAGGGTGCGGTGCGCTCGGTTGGTGTAGGGAAGCGACGGCGCGGATTCTCGTATTTAGTCGATTTCCAGCTTGGGACTGGGACGTTGGGTGTGGTGGCAGAGATAAGAGCCCAGTTGGGCGGGTTGGGATGACGCAATGACAGTTACTCGGTCGGTCAATTTCGTCCAAGTGCACGAGAATGGACCAGCGTCGACAGATATGTTCAGCAAGCGATCGGGTGTATGTGCAGGGCAGAAGATTTTCTGGTCGGTTCCTGAAAAGAAGAAGGCAAGAAAAGGAAAGACGACGGAAGAAGGCGGTTGAAGAATTGCGGAAGTACTTGGGCTACGATGAGTTGTCTGGGCAAAGACGGACCAAAGTCTAAATACATGGAGATTGGGAAGACACTGGCCAGAACCGGGGCGCTTGCCTTGATAAAAAAGGGCGACAGGGATATGATGAGATGGAGAGGCTTGAGAGGGGAGGGGAGTGCCAGAACGGTGGTGGAGGAAGAGATGGGGGAGCACTGGGAAGATGGGGGGCGCGAGAGGCAGTGAAGGGTCTGGTTGCATGGATCTTTCAGGCCAATTCCTTGTTCACGGTCCGGGGTGGCTTGCGATAGGTGCGATACGGCATCGGCGTTTGGGCGTGTGGGAAGTCGACTGGACATCAGTGGTCTAGAGGTTGCGGCCCACGAGGGCAGGTAGGTCTGGTATCTAGGCTGGTAACGATACCTTCCTTGGCTTGGGGACAGAATCAGGAACAGGAACAGGGACGGGAACAGGTACGGATACATCCCACGCAAGGAAGGTAGGTAGGTATGTAGCCAATGAGAGTAGGTATCCGTACATGAAGACAGAGATTCCACGGTACTGTGGTACTGTACAGTCGCTGAAGGCAGGAGGGAAGTGCTGTGCAGCGTATCGGGTCAATTGCAGGCTTTTCTCGCCAGTCCAGACCCAATCTTGACTGCACTCGGCCTCATTCGCGCATCCGAGTGGATGGATTGCACATGCATGGCTGGGAAGGCGTGGTGTACTGCGTATGTATACGCACCAAGTATGGACCCTTTCTACGTCGGTATGGTTGGATGCGTTGATGAATGTATTGCCCAGGATCCTGGGTTGGGAAGGAACATGCCTCACAGATAATGGTTGCGGCCCTGCTACTGGTAGATAGGTAGGTACCGGTATCGGTAACATAGGTACCCTAAGATTTCAAGGAGGGGAGGCGCGGAATGGGAAGGTTCTTTTCCGC